GGTCGAGGGACCTTTCTACTAGTGTCCTTCGTCACGGCAGCATTCCGCTGGACAGCTGGGTATGTGCCGCGGGGGACTTGAAGTCCATTCAACTCAAGGTACGCGTCATAGGGTCCTAGGTCCCTATATTGATCGGACTCCGTTCCGTTAGATCGCTGATCCGAGTTCCATGCAGAACTATCATCGTCATCAGGGTCTCGGGACTTTTTCTCAGGGATTAAGTCCGTTTCCTTTTGACGCCGCGCGCCCTCGAGCGCATCAACTAACTGGTCTTCATACCAACTAGCTAGGTCGAAGGCCGGGTTCTCAACCATCATAGAAGACAGGTGAGTTATCACCTCCCACTGACGATCTTCTATAACGAAGGTGTCGCTGTTCTGGGTATCCAGGGATACGGAGAACCGACGATGCAAAGGGACCGCAGGGAATAGGTCATCGAAAGCGTATGGCGCCCCTCGTCTCAATACGCGGGTGATTTCGCTTTCGAGGAGGTTTCCCATAGTCAGCGGGACATGGCTGATATCCCACTGGTGTGTGGGTACGCCTGTGCGAATTGAGCACTGATTGGCGTACCATTCTCCAGGTGTAAAACGTGGTTGCATTATCAAGTCCACAGACAGGTAACTATTGGTCTGCAGGACCCGGTCATGCACTCGGTACTGGTCTTCCCCGATACGCACGACCCCAAAACGTCTGAAGGAGCTCACCCTTGAGCTTGGAATGTCCCCGGGATATGGGGCGCAAATCTCAAGATTTTGGGCCACCAACTCGCCGTGGATTTCGCCTATGGGAGTATAGGTGCGTTCGTCCCAATCAGACTGGGTTGCAGTGATTTCTTCATCCCAATCTGAGTCGGTTACGGATTGTAGGTCAGGCATGTCCGAATAATCAAAATCGTCGTCAGCTTGTAACTCAGGTGAGTTATTATTGCTGTCGGCGGTTGAAGTCGACCCCCTAAATAGTCCTGAACTAGGTTCTGGGCTTTCGTCGAATAGTGTGGATAAATCCACATTGACACTTTCTGCATCAAATTGAACTTTAGGATAGCGTCGAGCTTGATACCATTTTGCCAAGTCAAAGTGAGCATTCATTATAATTGACTTGTCAACTCTTAATGGCTGACTGAAATCTTCGTCATGAATTACGAATTCATCAGGCTCGCCACGTGTTACATAGAAACGACCTTCAGGATCTGCGTCGGGATCACTGGAAGGGTAGAGTGTTGGGATGCCGCTACACAGCATGTGTGTCGCGTTGATACTGTAAGCATCCGCCATAGTCCAAAGGCGCTTCATTTTTTCTAATTTATGAAGTCGACGTGATAGCCGGCGTGCGTACCACTCTCCTAGTCGGAAGTGAGAGTTTTCCAGATTCGAGGTGCGTATCACACAACCGTTTAGATTCAGGTAATCATTAATACGATACCAATCAGGATTGCTAGTCCGATAAACGCTAAATCGTTGGCGGACACCGCCGTTACCCATCGCGTTACTATCACCAGGGTACGGCTGCATGATGTCCAGTACGTATTCGGCCATCAAAGCCAGGGCGTCCCCAAGCGAGGTACGTCTTGGCATATCGGGATCATATACCATCCATGATGGCTCATTCCCAATCCATTCAATGTTTTCAGAACTTTGCCAAGTTATTGCGCCGAGTTCTAGCGAATCGATGGCTTCAGCTTCATCGGATTCGAGAGACTCAGGCTCAATCTCAATATTATAATTGGTAAGTCCGGGTGGTTTGCTATTATTGCCACCAGACTTAACTGTATTTCCCTGAGGACAGTTTCGCGAAAGATGGCCTGGTTTCTTGCAACGGAAGCAAGATCCAGACGCCAATAAATCAGCTTTCTCCTTGTCACTCAGTCTGGGAGCCGTACTTTCATGTTGAAAGTTATTCGGTTTGGAATTCTTCCAGTCAGTTCGTCTGGAAGAGTTATTCTGATTGAAGTTCCCTTTAGGCTGTTGGGACTGGGGCCGGCTGGACCCTCTGGAGAAATTATCATTTCTTTGTCCAGACGGCGCTTGGGAACTTCCTCTCTGGAAGTTATTAGAAGAACCAGGATTTCGATTTCCTGAGTTCTTCTTGTCTCGAGAATTTCCATTATTCTGGTGAACATGGTGAGTTCCCGAATTATTATTCTTCCGCTGTTGATCAGGGACTGACTCCGAAATTTCGATGGTTTCTGCTCCGTCGCAGACGTCATCCCATTCAGATATCTCGGGATTGTATCCATCACGCCAGAGAGCCCTTTGAATCGAGCTGCGGAGACCATTCCAAAGCTTGATTACTTTTTCACGATCGTCAACAACGCCGATCATATTGAAAAGTTCCTCGAGTTCGTGTACGTATTCCGAAACCGTTTTTTCATTTTGGAAACACTTTTTAAGCTTTTTCCTTTGTGCCATCCTATAGTTTATTGGGAAGCAGTAATTGAACATTTGTTCAAAGAATTGCCGGAGTGTCCAGTCTCGGTAATTCATTGATACTTTCTGAGTATAATAATCGTAAGCCTTTCCTTTCAAATAATATGATAGGACAAAGACTTGTTTATTTCTTCGGACCTTTCCAGCCGTAACATACTCAGTTCCTTCAGTAACAAAGCGGTGATAGGAACGAGCATCAGCTGCTCCATCATATTCTTTGGGGGGAATGGGTTTCAGTCCAGATTTACGTGACCTGGACTTAGAACGCCGGTGCCTGCGGCGCGACTTTCGCTTGGAACGTTTCCTTGCGCGTGGGCTGTCCTGAGAGCTAACTGAGCTCTCAGAATCACTCGGCGACTCGCTCGAGGATGAGTCTGAGCTGGAACAAGAAGAATCCGAAGACTCAGGGTCTGGATCCGTTCGACGAGAGCGAGAGCGTTTGTCGACATTGTCAAGTGCACGCCCGAGGTAGCTGTCAGGTGCGATTTGATTAATGGGTCTGCTTTCCGCGCTTCGAGCAACCTTTTCCCGGCGCGCGGATCGACGATCATTAACCTTGGAGACATGTCGCCCAGTCAGGTCTGACATGGGAGTCTGTGCCTTAGGGTTCTTAGTGACCTTTAAGGTTTTCTTCTTGTTTCTGTGAGTGCGTTTCTTCCGCGCCGATTTTTCATTCTCTGAATTTTCATTCTCGGAATCTGATCGCGCAGATGTTTCCTTGTGATGATCCTTAAAAGACTCAAGAGCGGCGCGCTGGGCGTCGACATCCAGGTCTTCATCACTTAATTGGGCAGCACCCCAATTCCTTGGGTCAACATTTTTGCCTTTGGAATGGGATGGCCCTTCACCACGTGAGGCCGGAGATTCCGCCCTCTTCCGAGGTAATTCCTTAAGTTTCTCATAACGACGAGAAATTTGTTTCTTCTGAGCTGGAGTCAATTGCTCTTCAGCTTGGTGGAGGACAGTTTCTTTTTCCGTTCTCAATTTCTTATTGTTTGTGTCAATAGTAATAGAATTTTTATTCATTCTAACTTTACTGAGAGATTCTAGGCTACGTGTACGCCTAGGAACTACTCTGATCCAGGGATTGGGGTTATCATCCTGGTCACTGGGTTCACTCGACTCTGATAAGTCAGATTCACGATCAGGAACGACGTCGTCGTTCCTAAAGGTGACGCCAGCCGTAGCTGGGATACACTCCGTAGACGTCGTGCTCTGCACTTGTTCTTTGGGAGGAAGACGCCGAAGCGTCCCTTCCCCGCTGGCAATAACCGGCGAGGAAGGCCTGGAGGCCGCCACATCGCTATAAGAGCGAGGGGTTTTCTCCGATGAAATTGCCGTGAGCCTGGCAGGGCTGGTGGGGGCCGCATCAGGCGAGCCCTCACGGGATATCTGTGAACCGAGGTTGTTAGTAACAAAGTTAGTAGAGGCGGGCGCACCATTCTGGGTAGCTAATCCAGAACGCGAGACGCGCGCTCGGGTACGGTAACGAGTAGAAGACATAGAGATAAAAAAACAAAGAGACAGGGGAGACGAGGGGTATAGTCGCCAGAAGTCGGGGGTCCGGGTGATCAAACCGAAGGAATCCAGAAGACGGGCGAGGTAGTAGAGAGAGAGAGAGAGACGAGTTTTGTCGAGTCGGGTTAAGTCAAAAAATATGTGACAGATCTGTGACTACGGTGACGGAAGGTGACTGTAGTTTGGAGCTGGCACACTGAGAGCAAGAGCGAACACGAAAGACTGGTTAAGACTCTGGTATTCACTGGGGTAACTACGAGTTACAGTCTGTTCTTATATACGGCAGTAGGTAGGGCAAGGGGTAGGACAACGATGGGGATAACACACAGGGATAACAAATGAGATAGGCAGGTGATAGGTAATGGGAGCAGGGAGCAGTAAGTGTCCATAGAGATATCAAACCGTAGGTGTTGAGAATGGGCCGACGGAGGCCGAGCGCGTAAGCGCTTAGACGAGAGGATTGGAACCGTTATCAGTAGACGCGTGATATTGAGGTCACGTCTGTTACACAATTTTACATTGTAAGAAAGGAGCTCAAAATTCAAGAGACGTACCTTTGTCTCAAAGTTTTGTGATGCGACTCAAGGCCATGTTGGACGAGGAGTGGATGATAAGGAGGAATGAGCCAGTGGCGTGTTTGCTGTATGCTTGTTGTTCACCTGTTCACTACCACCATAGGCCCAAACGTTGCCTTCGGCGCGAATGTGGAATTGCACCAAAACGGTGTTGCGCGTGCTCGCCGATCAAGGCGTTGAGAGGAAAGGAGCGAGCAGTATCTTGGATCCGGCGCACTCGTGTTTGCCTATATGGTAGTCCCACTGAGAGGCAAATTCCCGGGCCGTTTTATTCATTCCATCCCAGTACGCTTTTCATTCTTTAAGAAATTCTCTCAACAAGTGCGATTAATGTCAAACTTCAACAGCTTAGGTTCGATCCCAATGAATGGGCGGTAGTCGACGACCGTGCTCAGCTCAAAACTGCCAGTACTTTCCTCCCGGTGTAGACAACCTTATTTTCCGGAAGTTTGGGGGTACGAGATACCCACCAGCAGGGATGACGGCTGCTGAATTCCTGGACGTTCCTACGAGAAGAAGTACTGGCGCTCAATTGCTCAGGTTAGAGCGTATATGGAGTACGTGGTTCAGGCGAAGCAAGACGAGGAGGGCATGACTTGGCATCTTTATCCTGATGAAGAATTTCACCCTGGCTTGGACAGGAACAGGCAAAGTAGCGAACACAGGGTGCGTGTATTGATTTATATGTTGCGACTTTTGATCATATGGTATGTCTAGGAATGATTCAATGTTGCTCTGTTAAAACGCACAATGCATTTTGTACGTCTGCGGTTATGAGTGAAAAACATGTCGACCAAAGATTCCTGGCGTTTCGCTGGACAAAGTCATTGATAGAATGACTCCAGAGGAAATCGATACTGTTGCTTCCCACTGGTTACAATCCATTCAAGCCAAGATAGCGGTTCCGCTTTGCTTGATCGCAGACATGCTTGCCGCCTTACCAACTCCATGACAGCTCCTTTTGCTCCTCAAGGGAGGTCGAGAGGAAATGCTCCCTTACGGTTTCTCTCACCTTTTCATGTCGGTGCTTTCAAGTTGTTGGAACGGCATAATGTATTCCGCAGACTCACAACACCCTTCAGTGGTGCGGAAAAGGTCATGGGAGTATTCCCATGGTCACAATTGGTCGTGACCAGTGTCACTCCATGATCCATCTTTCAAGCGCTCTATACTTGATCAAGCCCCACGACCAGAAAGGATCGCTCCACGCCACAAGCGAATCATCGCCGAACTCGAGACTGAGATGGCAATTGCTCAGGAAGCCTTGAAAACTATGATGAAACAGCGAAACGAAGCACACGCCCTGCCGGCGTCCTTGAGCAGCACTGTTGACAGAGGTGACTCAGCTCTCCTTGATAACATTGACGAACAAATGTTTGACGTAGAATGCGATCTGTACTCGCTGCAAGGTGGATTGGAGAGGCAGATCTCAAACGCGAGCATCAGGAATCGTAGCGAAACTTGCGACGAAATCAAACCTGAAATCGAGGAAGGCCAACTGGAGCTGCGACGGCTCTTGGAGCAACGTAAAGACATCTCAGAGCAGTTGGATCTCCATCGTGACCAACTGTCGCCCATATGCAAGGTTCCCCCAGAGATCATTCGTATCCTATTCCTCCTATGGGCCTCTGACAGGCATTTTCTCCGATCCCCAACTCACGTCTCTCCAAATGTTCTGGCTGGCGTTTGTGTTTCCTGGAAGAATATTGCACTCGGTATGCCCAAATTATGGTCCTTCATATTGGTCGAGATACGGAAAGGGAAGTTTTACCCTGACAAACGGATCGTTGAAAGGTGGATTGAGCGCTCTGGCTCCTCCGCGCTTTCTTTCTCTATTGAAGAAAGAGATTCATCTTTTCACAGCAACCATGCAGGAGTTGATCAGGTTCCGCCCACCATACTATACGGCAATACGAGATCTGAGCATTACGCTGGATCACCAGTCGCGTCCATGCTCGAACTCTTCATTCCCCATCACTCCCGATGGCAGCGAGTCCGTCTGAGATACAACGATGCTGATACAGTTGCGTTGGCTTCCTTGCCATTGCCCATGAACACCACGTATCCTTTACTTGAAGAGGTATACTTGGACAAAGGTTACTGGTATGCCAAAGAAGATCTAGACCGTATCAAATCCATGATGGTCTCCGCACCACGGCTCCATTCCGTTACCTGGCTGAGCGAGAAATCATACAAGGTGCTCGCCTTTCCATGGGAACAACTCACACACTTCTCGCAGGGCCCCTTCGCCACTATGAACCAGGGTCTTCGTATCCTCGCGATCTGTCCTCATCTCAAATCCCTGGAGCTGACGCTCTTTCTTCCGGGTTCCCATGTTTCCTGTCGATGACGACGATGACCCATTTGTCCACAACACTTTAGAACGCCTTCATCTACGTACTGCAGGTAACCTGGCAGTTCTTCTCGACAAAGTCACTCTACCAGCTCTGAAGGATCTATTGCTCTCCGAATTACATGGAGCCTCACTCTCTATACGCGTTGGCCGGTGGCCACAATTCCAGTTCCTCGCATTCCTCCTACGTTCAGGTTGCACCATCAAGCAATTCATCATTCAGGAGTGTAATATCTCCGCAGAAGAGATGGCGGAGTGCCTGGTACATCCGCAAATATCCAAGTCATTGGGTTCGTTGTCTATCACGGAATATCACCAAAAGCATCTGTGCATGACGGATGAGGTTCTTAGGCGGTTGACGTATACCCCATCAGTCATCTTTTCAGAAAACGTTCTGGGTGGTGGGGACGACCAACTGGTTGAGGACACCCCATCGGAGACTATCTGTCCGAATCTCACGAACATCAAGCTGTGGGGATGTATTTCCGCCCAGGATGGAAAGGTCGCGGATATGGTTGAGTCGAGGTGGCTATCCAGGACCGAAGCTTGCCCCATCGTGCAACTCAGGACGGCGGCAATAGGATTTTTCGCTGACGCATGTCATACGGAGGATTGGACACGGTTGGAGGCGCTGAAAGTAGACAGGTTTGGGATCACACATATTCGACTGTGATGGTGGGGTCAATTTTTGTTTTCTATACATGCAAAGATGCAGTCGCCCTGATTGACACTGGCCAACGCCTGAGCTTGGACAGCTTGTGGCGAATACAAGAGTTCCTGTTCATGGATCTTTTCGACTCGGAGTGCGATGGTGCTGGGAGATTTACGCGCTCAGACGCGTGTTTGAGCTCATTGACATCAACCTGTAATTATTCAACGTTATTCAACTCCATAGCCAGCTCTTTTTGCTCCCCAGCAACTCCCAGGAGTCCCAAGCGATTCGAGATGAAAGGCAGCAGGCTCGCCTGATGATTTCTCTCACTTTTCGACTTCGGTCCTTCCAGGGTCTCGTTGTTAGGCTACTAGAACGTCATAATGCATTTCTCAAACTCACCACACCCCTCAGTGGTGGACATGGGAGTAAGTATTCCTTGTCGGAGATGGCCAACCACTTCCAGTCACGAAAGTCACAAAATTGGTCGTGACCAGGTTGATCAGAGGACACTCAATTTTGATTTCGACGATGATTTCAAGATGATTTGGTCAATTTCTCAGGAAGCCTTGAAAACTAAGATGAAGCAGCGAAACGATGCACACTCCCTGTTGGCGCCCTTGAGCAACCTTGTCTTGGGGCAATGTCCAAACTTCTTGAATCTCCATCGTAACGAACTCTCGCCCATATGCAAGCTTCCCCCAGAAATCATTCGTATCATATTCCTCTTCTGGGCCTCCGACAGGCATTTTTTTCAATCCCCCACTTGTATCTCTCCAAATGTTTTGACTGGCGTTTGTGTTTCCTGGAGGAATATTGCATTCGGTATGCCCGAATTATGGTCCTTGATAGTGGTCGAGATACGGGAAGGGAAGGTTTACCCCGACAAACAGATCATTCAAAATTAAATCGAGCGCTCTGGCTCCTCCGCACTTTCTTTCTCTATTAAAGAAAGAGACTTTTTTCACAGCAACCTTGCAGTACGACTCGGTCCTGTTCTCCGCATCCTGCTATATGGCGATACGAACACTGACCACTCTGCTGAATCACCAGTCGCGTCCATGCTCAATCTCTTCATTCCCCATCACTTTCGATGGCAAAAAGTCCGTCTGGGATACAAAAATGCATGGAATGGGAAAGTTGGGCTCGCTTCCCTCCCCAGGAACGCCACGTATCCTTAGGTACACTTGCATGAAAATCACTCCTTGTGGGCACTGGAAGATGCGGACCGCATTGAATCCATGATGGTCTCCGCACCACGGCTCCATTCCATCAGCTGGCTGAGCCAGAAATCATACGCGACGCTCGCCTTTCCCTGGGAGCAGCTCACACACTTCACGCTGGGCTCCCCCACCGTTGTAGACGAAGGTCTTCGTATCCTTGCGATCTGCCCTCATCTCAAATTCCTGGAACTGATACTCCTTCCCATATTTCCCGTCTCTAACGACGGTGACCCATTTGTCCGACACAACACTTTACAACACCTTCATCTGAGTGTTGTAGGTAACATGGCAGCTCTCTTTGACAAAGTCACTCTACCAGCTCTGAAGGATCTATCGCTCTCCGAATTACATGGAACCGCACCCGACCCCCCTATACACCTCGGCCGCTGGCCACAATCCCAGTTCCTCGCATTCCTCCTGCGTTCAGGTTGCACCATCGAGCAATTCATCATTGAGGAGTGTGATATCTCCGCAGAAGATTTAGTGGAGTGTCTCGCACATCCGCAGGTATCAAAATCGTTGCGTTCGTTGTCTGTCATGGAAGGTCACCTAAAGAATCCGTGCGTGACGGATGAGGTGCTCAAGCGGTTGACGTATACCCCACTGGAGACCATCTGTCCGAATCTCACGACCATCAAGCTGTGGGGATGCATTTCCGCCCAGGATGGAAAGGTCGCGGATATGGTTGAGTCGAGGTGGTTACCAAGGACCGAGGGTTACCCCCTCATGCAATTGAGGACGGCAGTAATGGGGTTTTCCCCTAACACATATCATGCAGATGATCGGATTCGGTTGGGGGCGTTTAACGTAGACAGGTCCGGGATCAAACTTACTCAACTGTGATGGCAGTGGGGTCAAACTTCGTTTTCTGCGTATGTCAATATGCAGGCGCGCTCCCATGGGGTTATTCCCATCGCAGTGTCAAGTACATTTATATCTCTGTCAACAATCCAGCATGAATCTTGTGCTAAAACCAATACAATCTCAGCCCATCAACGACGTCTTGAGCAGCTCTTCTACAAAGCTAGCATCTACCAGCCCAACACAATGAAGAGCCACCATTTGGTGATGATGCTCGAAGAGGAGCCGCTCGACTTGTAAAGGTCCTTGACAGTTGGAATCCGGTTTTTAGCTTGGGTGGTCCAGGTGACAAACGATGTCAAAACCCTGACAAATAAATGTGGGGAAAAAGGGAGACCACTGGCTAGCATGCGGTCATGGCAAAGGTGTCATCCTAGAGAAGAAGGGATGATGCATACAGCCGCTCGTCATTTCGTCACCCTTGACTGATCATAGCATTGTTACAGTCGTACGGCGTCCACAGTTGTTTCGAAGATCCCTGACCGGTATGATTAAGTGACTACGCTCGAGGAGCTGGTCGATCTGCAGAGGCTCTCGATGGTTTTGGCTTGGCTGGCCTAATTGACGAACGAGGCGAAAGCCTAGATAGCCGCGGGGGGCATGAGATTATGGTGGAGTGATGCCTGAAGCTTCCCTTGTCACTTCGTCATGATGTAAGAGTTATCAGAAAGCCGTGTCTGTTGTATGAACAAGCGACTGTCTCGCAAAAATGGGTCCTCAATCAATGTGGTTTTGGTGTTGGACAAGGCCACCCTGGTTGGCACTGATCGACGCCTGAACTTGGACAACTTAATACAAGAGTTCCTGTTCGTGGATCTTGTCGAGTACGATGATGCTGGGAGATCTATGCATGTTTGAGCTCATTGACATCAACCTGTAATTGACCGACTTCATGGTCAGCTCTTTTTGCTTCCCAAGCGAGTCGAGATGAAAGGCTCGCCTGATGATATCTCTCACTTTTCGACTTCGGTCCCTCCAGGGTCTCGTTGTCAGGCTACTAGAACGGCATAACGTGTTCCTCAGACTCACCACACCCCTCAGCGGTGCGGAAAGGGCATGGAAGTATTCCCTCTTCTGGTCCCTTCGAGACATGGGGGTTTCTCAGATAGATCTTACCCTCGATGGCAGCGATGTCGGTGAGGGTGGAGGTATGTATCGAGTATTTCGGCGTAGGGTAATAATCCGCCACGTCGAGCATGGATTTGGGAGTGAGTCGCCATCGTTTCTGCGGTTACCGTGCGCCATATCGCATTTACGATCCACTGTTGACTCATGGTGCACGAATCCAACACGGGTCCTCTCCACCCCTTTGTCTTCCATTCTTTCGAGGGTTCAACGTTCTTCCAAGAAGGCTGTTGAACCGAACCCGGAAAGAAACGTTGAGTCTTCGCATTCACGGCCCCTTAGTGCTCGGAGGGGAGGGGATTGCGCTGAACGGGCTTGGGCTGCGTATACGTATGGTGGCGTCACGAGCTTCGCGAGCTTGGCGATGGACATAGACCTGGCCCTCTCCGACGTCCACCCGCGCCAATCATCACCGCTTAAAAGCCATCGCAGTTGCACATACGCAGTATCTGAAGTCTATCCAATCATCGACGTTGGCCAGACAGGTCAAAGTGGGAAGGAAGGTGAGACGCTCAGCGTCACTACTGAGGAGGGTGATGTGCACGAGTGCATTGTGGATGGATATAGCTCGTAGTTGGGTTGATTGGAGGGGATGACATGGGCTGGATGTGGTGGAACCGCAGCATAGCCAAAAGAATCAAAATCGTCGCTAATCCTCGGCTTGAATTCGGTTGGAGTGGATCTTGTGCTCTTGGATGTGCTTACTACAAGCTTACTACGTCGGCTGAATCTGACGGAAATAAGAGGAAATAAGGCGGCGAAAAGAAAGAGATTGGCGTCCTTGAACTCTATAAACCTTGGATTGGGAAGGTTGGATGAGGGTGCATACTTTGATCTACGACGTTGGCATTTCCTGCCAAACCTCGAAAAGAAGTGTGACATCGGAGGCTACTGCAATGGCGTCAATAGTATTTCATGGTAATGGTAACCTCGTATTCACCTTCTCGCTCGCCGTGAATCGCTCCCAATCCATCAATCGTTAATGAATCACCCGTGTCTGTGAAGCCGCGGAAAAGCCAGTCCTCGAACAGAAATCATGGGAAGAGGCATAAATGTCAACGTTCTTGTGATTACCGTCCGCCATAAACCGTGCAGGATATAAGTACGGCGTCGTTGTTGTATGGTGTGGTGGGAACACAGCTGAGACAAATCACGAAAGTGCAGTTCCACGAAATTACGTGGGTAGTGGGGTATCGGATTCCCTAAGCTCGGGACGACTGTGACTGTTGCGGAAATGCTTAGTGGAGAATGCCATTAGTGAGCATTAGTGCTGTCCTAATCCGAAAGATCTCAGTAAGGGTGAATATTTGAATAGCAAGATATGGCAGTCAAAGCCGAACGTACGTTCAATCCAGAAAGCAGTCTCCTACCGAGAGCAGTAGATAATGAGACCATGGGTAAAGGCCGGCGACTGTCGTGATCAAGCCTGCTTGAGGCGGAAACTGAGGCCCACTTCCCATGACAGCTACGATGAGCCAGACACTTTCTACAAGCGCAACATTGACATCTCCAAGTACGTCCCGTACCACTTCGATCTCTTTGGTGTCACGCTGACCTCCATTTAAGCCTGCCGGTGATGTCGATGAAGTGTGAGGCGCTACGCCTGCCGGTGATGAAGCGTGAGGCGCTATGCTTGCCGGTGATGAAGCGTGAGGCGCTTCCCCTGCCTGTGGTGGACGTTGAGCAACTGCTACAGGACTGCTACTATTGTGAAGCCTAAAACCCTTTTTGTGAATTGATAACGTTGTATTGTCCAGATCTTCGACTTACCAATCGTTGAAATTCGCGTATGGGACACTTGAACCTGTCTGGGAGATAACAGAATTCAGGAATAATTCAGTACATGTTGAACGAATAGAAACTAACATTGGCCCACAAAGAAATCGCGTCCCACCAACCGTTAACATTGTTTCTGATGCTTTAATCAACTTGAATCGCGGACAAAGAATATGATAGTGATACATACATGTCTGAGAAGACTGCAGAGTCCGCAATCATGAGCGTCCGATTGTAAAAATCGACATATTTTTCTGTCCAATTGGCCGGTAAATAAATGTCATATGTTGAGCCAGTTCAGCGGCCTACGCGGAGTAATGGGACAACCGGGTCCTGTTGCCCAATCACAGTCACCCACTATTCCAGCGTATAACTAGAAATAATATGAAGAAGTTGATCAAGCGTCCAGAAGCGAGGGACTGACATTATAATCTAGAGATGGTTGGTTCTTGGGATCGGCAGGCGATGCACAGGATACGGCCTCGAAGACAGTTGCAACCTGGACGAGCTATCAGTAAGGTAATAGTCAACCAAAAAGACACCTCTTACTGAATTGCATGTCGCAGCAGTTACACAGTCATTGCTATGCCAAAATCCTGGCTAAGTTGAAAACGTTTAGGGAAATGTTTTGGCTGGAAATCCGGGATACTACACACGTTCGCAGCACATCGCTGAAGGAGAAAGTCGCAAGTCAGGTCACTAGAAGTACGACAGCCACGACGTTGCACAGGGATGGCGTGAACAGAGGTGAGATAGACTCGAAACAGGCCATATCAAGTTGAACACGCCCCGCATGATGGGACCCAGCATCGAGAGAGTGCTTGGTTTATGGCTTTTATACTTGGCTGGTGGGCAGCGGCCCGACTAACTGGAGAATAAGTGTAATGCGTCGTTGTAGCCATGTTTCAAGTTGCTGGAGAAACGATGGTGAAGAAGGAATGATGGTGATTCTACGGTGAACTTGAAATATCGCAGCCTCGCAGGGGTGACTACAGAGTGAAGAGTTAGCTAAGATGGCGTTCAGCCTGTTTACAGGGAAGAAAAAGCTTGTGGTTCTCTCCGCCAAGGAGATATGGGCGCATCTTGTCTGCATGACAATGATAATAACATCCTCAATGATGTTTGGCGCCTATCAATCCGCATTAAGGTAGACGACAACCATATCCTTCCAACGTCACGTGAACAGCGTGACATTTCCATTTTAAGCCTCAATTACACAGATAATGTCCTAGAATATTTTGAACACGAATCGCAGCTAATCGGAAACCATAGAACTGAGCCGAATGCAGATTTCATGGAGCACAAAAAAAATTAAAGTGGTAAAACGAAATTTGAGGGAAAAGAAACAAAAATACTTCACGACGCGTCAATTTGAAGGCACACGCGCAAATCCTCTTCATTAGGCCAGAACCATGCCTAAGCGAAGCAATTACCTCTAGTACAGAGCATATAACTTACATAGAGGTGATAAAACAACAAAAAGCTAAAACTGCAAAGGAGAATGAGGGATTTTATTTCTGGGTGTTCAATTACTCAAGGACGCGTCTTAACTAACAAATATCAGAGAACAACAACCCCCGCAAGATATGAAACCTTTAGGAATTCATTATAGTCAATTTTGGATCGAAATTTCGATGCGACGAAGGCTTTTGACGGTCAATCTGAGCTTCAGGAACGGTGACCGAACCTACCATAGTATCTTGTATCTCCTCCCCCAATTTTCATTCTCCTACTTTATAAATTTGTATATATCTTTAGAGCACTAATTCTAATAGTTCTATGGTCGTCGATTTTTCCTAACTTTATGCACAGAATTGTTATGGCCTTTTCTTCGACTTTTCTCATTTCTGTTTGCCAAAAAAGGAGTGTTATGTCACGTCACAGAGGGTTGGTTGTGTATGGTTGTCGTCTACCTTACATTGGTATCACGGTTACATAATAACGGAAAAATTATAACACGCACTTTATATATAGGAATTGGCCAGGGTAATTTCCTGAAAGACTTGATCATAGCTCTTGACGACCACTCCCAAGCATCAGGAAGACAACATCTGGCTAGAGGGGCTAGGATTATCAATGTGGTCGCAACACTGGATGCGCAAGGCCACCCTGATTGGCACTGACCACCAGCGCCTGAGTGTAGACAACTTGTGGAGAATACAAGAGTTCCTTCTGTTCATGGGATCTGGTCGAGTGCGGATCATGGTGCTAGCTGCTGCAGCACCGTCTTTAAAGGACATCCTTGGGGTAGAAGGTTTTGGCGCGGATGCGCTATGGTTAAGAGTCCAATTTGCGAGCGTGGTATGTGGTTTTGAGTAGGGGGTCCCTCAGGCCGGGTGACAAGGACAGTCGCGGACGAATACACTCCTGTTCAACGTCTGCTCCTCGACCTTCAGGTCCAGAGTCCGTCGCGCACGCGTCCTCGCCATCGTGGCATATGAGCTTAGATCCAGCCTATCCAGAAATTACTAGAATTATTCAGCTTAACGCGCATTACAAGCCTATAAGTTAACCAATCCAATAGAATATGTAAGTGGGTAGTTCATCACAGCACGGTAGGGGAACCAACATAAAACTTCCTCAACTCAGTCATAGTACTCCACCACCCCACCAGCACCCAAACTCCCCCTCCGAACCTTCTCCCCTTTAGCACGGAGTATATCCTCAATCGTAGGATTCTTCCCTTCCTCAGTGCCGAATTTGAACCAGCCCAGGTGGTCCGCTATCAGATGCCTACAACGTTCCCCGTTGTGAGTCAGGACCCCTATCTCAAGAAAAAAGAAGAAACCCACCGATTCTTACACCCCGGACATTCAACCAACACAATACCGCGCTCATAGCTGCGTTTTGTGAATTGGTGAGTTGAGCGTTCGCCACATCCTTCGACTGTGCATGTGAACGTCATTGAGAGTCGGGGTTCGAGTTTTTCGGGGAGGGGTTGGGAAGAGGTGGTGGAGATGATGATGAGGAGGATGAGGAAGAAGAAGAAGAGGAAGAGGCATCCTCTGATATTGGCTCTGTACGTGGCAGAGATGTGGTGTACGGTCTGCGAGCGAGAGGTATGGAAGGTCTTCTGGCTGTTGAAAAAGCTGCTGCGGGCCGTAGCTGAAAAGCAATAGACGGGTGGCGTGGAGCTATGACGCTGCGTAGGATGCCAAAGTTTTTGAGGAGTCGCGACGAAAGCATGATGTTGGGTAGAAAGGAAGAGACGCAAAAACACGCTTGCGGCAACTTGTTGATCATGTCTGGCAAATGTCCTGGCATTCGTAAATAGCACATAAAAGTACATGGTACACGTAGTAAAGACATGAATAACATATCAGATTGTCGCAAGTCAATGGTCTGTGTGTGTTACAAGGAAAGGATAATAGGTCAAACGAAAAGTGAGGAAGTTGGGCTTGAGGGGGACATGTTGTCCGTATAAGAAAAGATGTCGTCCATAGCTACGTAGAAGCTAAGTCGTCCACAGCTCAATGGTGAGGGATATGCGCTCCAACGGAGCTCAACCAGCCTGATAAACAGCAGGCCCAGCAACAATATGCGGATTGATGAACGAAATGTTGAACGGAGTCACGAAGATATCTTCATCCGTTATCGCAATGAACCTTTTATACGTTTATCAGCCACTCAATTCGATACAGCAAAGGGGGATACGTGCATGGTAGCATTAACAATTGCCGACGACCCATTCCCAAAAACGGTGCCATTCGGCTGGAACGTCGTCCCCGTCTGGTTGACGATGTTTTCGAGGACGGTGTAGGTGGTATTGAGTTGCGATATCCAGGCTACGAACTATATCACATTCCATTCGTCAGTCCCACGCACATAATTCAAAGATGGATGGATGGGAGAAGACGTAAAACCAAAATCAGAACCAAACCTCACCTGAGGTGGACCAGCAGTCGTATTCGTAACAAAACTACTATTAGGGCCTATCGCCTGACCGGGTAAATTCCAAGTAAGGTTGACCTGTCGTCCGGGGAAGGAGAGGGGAATGGAGCGGTTATGCGTGATGGCCGGGTTGGTGTTGTTGTCTGGGATGGAGGTGTTGATGAAGAGTGTTGGGTCGGGGTTGTTCTGTACGGAAGGGTGAGTAGGGAGAACGAAGGGGAAAGGAAGTAAAACGGAAAATGGAAGGACAAAAACGCACAACGACATTCAACGCCGGAAAATTCTGAAACTCAATCACCGGATTCCCAGCTGGACAACTTATAATCAACGGCGCCAACAGCGTCCACATCATACTCTGCATAATCGCCGTTTGAAAGTCGACAGGAACGGGGAAGAGGCCTTCGTATTGGCGGAATATCATTTGTTCGCGGGAAGAGGCTGTTAGTGTTTGGGCGAGAAGTTGGGCGGCTGCGCGCGAGTCGAGGTGTTCGATGAAGCCTAGGATGCCGGATTCGCCTATTGCTGCTATCTAGAGGGGGAGGAGGCGGTGGGGAAGAGGGGGAGAGAGGAAAAGGGAGGGAGGACGAACCTGTTGGCTGAAGTTTATGAATTCGCGGACGTCTTCGAATGGAAATTGATAAGTGCACTGATTGGCTGCCTGTTCTGCGTCGTAACGTTAGACCTAAACGCTGCTGAGAGTTATGGGACGAGGGTTACACTACCTCCAATCATGTTCGAGAGCAGAGTAGCATGGGACACTTTTTGATCAGCTAAGAACTGGATGAGAAATCTGTCCGCTTCGAAAATCTGTACGTCCTCGAATTCTTGAACTGTGAACGTTGCGAGGCCAAAGTGGAAGAGGTCGAGTTCGAGGAGCTGTTGGTTTAATGCCAGGTTCTGTGTCGTCGAATGTCAATAAGGATGGAAGAGACATGAGATGAGCAAGCCAGACGTACGAGGGACTGGAAATCAAAGTCGCTCAGGGGATGATAGAACGGAGGTGTAGAGTTGGTTCCGAGACCACCGGAAGGTTGGAAGTTGAGTGCTGTGGTGGTGGTAGTCGGGATTGTCGTCGTGGGCCAGGCAACAGCCAACCCAGCCAGGGCAGCAGCGAGGATAGGGATCCACATTGTTCAAAGTGGGCTTTGAGCTTGCTGCTCATTTTGCATAATCAAATTTAAAGGGGACCGTGGAGCGAGAGTCAATACAGAGTCGGGGGATGAATTGACTGGTGAGACAACGTATACCGGCGGGGAGACTAGTATTATACCCGCACATAAAATCGTTATGATAGAATTGGCTTGGAGGACGTCAGATGAGGATGTAAGACGCCGGGTTCCTTGGATTGTTGGAATTTGGGATGGTGATGGTGATTGGTGTCCAAAAACACCACTGTTCTTCGGTGCCTTCGAAGCTGTGACCACATGTTGCACATGATGTGGTTGCTGAAAGAGTTCATTGCCGCCCCCTCGTAGCTGCTCTGCATGAGCCTAGATTGAGAGCAGCGGCTCTCCCTGCCCCTTCCGGCTCCTGGAGGTTGGACACCATCGACGCCAAGGCGTTTTCTCCTGTGGCTTCTACAGGTCGGGAGGTCGTTGTCATTTTCAGGCTAATCCAAAGCCAGCCTCTTGATGGCAAATGGTGGCCTATTTGCACAATGGGCCGTTGCAGCAGCAAATTCCCATGCGCCTCCGCCGCTGGCAAAACTCGAAGAACAGGCATACTAGAAAAGCAAGGTAAGTATGCATAGTTCGTACATCACACTCAACCCACCTAATCGCACAGACCAGCTTTTTCCATTTCGCGCTAAGCAGCACCGCACGTCTACGTACTTCTGAGCACTGGATTTGAAGCTGGCGATGGGAAACCGTCGGGCAAAATTGGGTCGGTCGGTCAGTCTTGAACAGCGAGGAGCGCTTTTCTGGTAGCCTGATTGATAAGTCAGATATGAGGAGCTCCTGTCGATGAGACCTCTGCAAGTTGAACTGTCCGAACCATTGGGTGTCATGACCGTCGTCGTAATCTTCAGTCTGTTGTTCTAGTAAGCATACAGACAAGTGAGAGCGATATAATACACTCACCTCGACTTGAAACGTCGATGTCCTGCTTGTGAAAGTAGGATCTATGACGGCGATGAGATGCACGAGTTCTCCCCCTCTTGTTGGACATGTCATTTCGGTGAAACGCTACAAAAGGGCGTAGGCCCTTCCATATGACGAACCCGCAATCTGATGCACATCCCTTTTGGGGTGAAGATTCGTCGCGACTGAGAGACTGAGAGTTGAGGTGCGGGGACGGTTCTCTTTATTTCTACTAGAATGATTAGCTTCGTATGAGGTATAAAGCTCGAGAAGAACTCACAAGCAATGACTACAGAGTGAAGGTACGTCTAATCTGGGGTGATTTGTGGGTCAGGGAGCTGTTCAGCGAGATGCATGATGGTGAAGCATGAAGACCTTGAAGCTTGATTGGTTAGCAGAGGTTTGAGGAGCGAAAAGTCACTCTGAACCAGCTCTGAACGACGCAACAGTTTCAGACGATGGAATTATTGCTACCCACTGCTTTGGCGAACGCAATAGTCGGATAAATGGAGCATCACTGAGTACTGGATCCTCGTGATGAAATCAAATCCATTGGGGTTATCAACCTCCAAGTCCATAACCGCGTCGTTCGCCTCCACCATCCTAACCATAATATCAACCAATCCAGCCTATTCGCCATGCGCGAGTGCCTCAGCCTAGTGAGCCTTATTATCCGCGATCTGGGCATCATCTTACCATCAAACCCATCTATTAGGTTCTCAAAGAGAGCAAATTCAAAGAACACGGCCGTATTACACCCAGTACGTTTCACGATTGTATATCACGTTCCTTTTTTGCTCACCGTGAAATGAACAACAGAGGAATTCGTCGCTGTAGGTGACTTTTTGGTGTACAAGTTCCCCGTATGGACGTGGTAAGCGCATTCCTTCTCCATTCCTTCCTCCTCTTCTCTCGTCGCGAAATTAAACTAAGTGGGCAACAGGGAAAAAGGAGACACATCCAAATCCCGCGACTTCCTCCCACAAGACAAACAATACCTAGTAACGCGTGGCGTCCCCTGCCTCCGGCGCGCCACCTCCCTAGCCTACACAGACGCAGACGAGGACGCTGAGCGTCTCCTCTCCTTCGCTGATTCCTCTTCCCCCTCCGCAGACGGCGACGAGTGGGTCGAGACGCACGCGGGTCGGCAGGCGCATCGAACGGACTCTGCGACAAACGCGGGTGAGATTGCGGACTCTATCCCTGATTTGGATGGGGATAGGCCGCATGGGGATGAGGAGAGGATTGTGAGGGGGTTGGGGGCGTGTCGTTAGCTGGGGGTGAGGGGGTTGGGCCGGAGACGCCTGATTTGGATGATATCCCTGATATGGAGGAGGATGATTTGGAGGAAGGGGATGATGAGGCTACGGCTACAGCGCCTAAGACGGCCGTTATACCTGCTGCTGCCGGGGTTGATGCTAGGTATGTTTTGTCATTGAGGCTGCTGAAATTTGAAGCGCGCTGATGATCTCTTTGTAGTGCCAATGTGGAAGTTGCAAAGGGCAATCTGCTTCAAGTTCGCACGTACGATGTGATGATCACATACGACAAGTATTACCAGACCCCACGCGTTTGGCTGATCGGCTACGACGGGGTTCGCCTTTACCCTTTGTCCCCATTCTCTTTTCTACGCTAACTAACGGAAACAACAGAACCGCACCCCACTAACCCCTCCCAAATCTTCCAAGACATCTCAGCAGACCACACCCAGAAAACAGTAACGATCGAACCATTCATCCACTCCGCCTCTCTCCAAGCCGCCTCCGTGCATCCATGCAAACACGCCAGCGTCATGAAGAAAGTGATAGAAAGGATGAACAACAGTGTCGTCGAGGAACAGCTCGCGCAGCGCGGTAAATCCTCTTCTTCGTCAGGCAAGGACACCCCTAAGAAAGAGAAGAAATGGCTGTTCAGCCGAAAATCGTCTGGGAGTGCCAAGGTCATTCAACAGTTGCAAGTTGGGGCTGAGGAAGAGGAGGTGGAGGGAATGAGGGTTGACTTTTATCTGGTTGTTTTCCTCAAGTTTATTGCAAGCATCGTGCCAACTATTCAGGTTGACTCGACTATGTCTTTTTGAGTTTGATGCTGCTCTCCCCTTTGTCCTCTGACTTTATCTGGTACCCCTAGTCCTCCCTCATTGCTAAGCCATCGTTTCTTTTACCTGTATTTTTTTTTACCACTGTTGGTACTTAGAGCTCCTCTTTCTTTGTGAATATGCCGCAATGTGGAATATTTATCTGTATCTTTCGTGTTTTTCTGACAGACTTCGGAGAATACATAAATCATGTATCATCTCACCCCCCTCTAACAACTCATTGAACTCCCATACACATACACTGTGAAGACAACTCAAGGGCACCCTCAAGCCGTGGAAGCTTCAGAACATGAAAAGCTTGTGGACTTGAAAAAAATTACCATCCTTGACTTTCTTTTGCTCAAATGACACAATCTATTTTCTTGAGAACAACAAGGCAAAAGGTGCATCATAATGGGTGGTAACTAGAGACATGTGCTGCATTTATGAAATTCTGGGAAGGTGGGCTGAAACTTTTATAAAGCTAAAATCAAATAAATGAGAAGACCTTGGAAGACTTGGAATATTGATACTCACGAAGACGATTGTCCATAGCAATCTTTACAAGAGCCTGTTTCTTTTGTTCCTTGGTTTTCATATGAGAGGCCTCCTCAATGGCAGTATTGATTTTTGCCATGTCAGCAGACAAGTTGAACTTTTGAATGGCTGATTTGAAGGGGGCAGTGGACTTTGAAGGATTCTGTTTCCACAGAAAGAAAGAGTGCTCTGCAATGATAGCAGTCACTGAGCAGTAAAATAATAGTTATGATAGAGTGGTCATAAATGAGAGTAGACACACCAATACATAGAAAGGCAATGTCCTTGAAGGATTTGGTATTGTGAATCTGGATAGAATTATGTGGTGGTCAGAATAATGAATAGCATTTACACAGTGAAGCTAGTGAAGGTTTACCAAGGACCAGTCTGTATGATCGAGGACATCCTTTGCCTAAAAATAGTAATTGGTTCAGTCAATACTACTGGTTTTTATAAAAATATTGGAAGAAACAATAAAATACTGACTGTCTATTTGAACAAGTGGAGTTTCATAAGTGTTTTTCTAAAATTGTAGAACTGAACTCACAATCTCATCATTTCTTAGCAAAATGAAAAGAGAAGAAAGCTGAGACCTACCTTCTATTTAAAACACAGGCCACCCTCTTATCAACAACAAGTAGAGAAGAACAGTCAGATGATGACTTACATCCTGTTCAAAACCCATAGCATGCTCTGGTCAGCAACAAGCAGGAAGGGCCAGCCAGATCCTGACTTACATACCATTCAAAACCCAGACCATGCTCTTGTCAGCAACAAGCAAGAAGGGCCAGCCAGATCCTGACTTACTCGCTGTTTAAAACCCAGACCATGCTCTTGTCAGCAACAAGCAGGAAGGGCCAGCCAGATCCTGACTTACTCGCTGTTCAAAACCCAGACCATGCTCTTGTCAGCAACAAGCAGGAAGGGCCAGCCAGATCCTGACTTACTCGCTGTTCAAAACCCAGACATGCTCTTGTTACTTGCTGTTCAAAACCCAGAGCATGCTCTTGTCAGCAACAAGCAGGAAGGGCCAGCCAGATCCTGACTTACATCCTGTTCAAAACCCAGAGCATGCTCTTGTCAGCAACATGCAGGAAGGGCCAGCCAGATCCTGACTTACATCCTGTTCAAAACCCAAAGCATGCTCTTGTCAGCAACAAGCAGAAAGGGCCAGCCAGATCCTGACTTACATCCTGTTCAAAACCCAAAAGCATGCTCTTGTCAGCAACAAGCAGGAAGGGCCAGCCAGATCCTGACTTACATCCTGTTCAAAACCCAGAGCATGCTCTTGTCAGCAACAAGCAGGAAGGGGCAGCCAGATCCTGACTTACAGCCTGTTCAAAACCCAGAGCATGCTCTTGTCAGCAACAAGCAGGAAGGGCCAGCCAGATCCTGACTTACAAGCTGTTCAAAACCAAGAGCATGCTTTTGTCAGCAACAAGCAGGAAGGGCCAGCCAGATCCTGACTTACAAGCTGTTCAAAACCAAGAGCATGCTCTTGTCAGCAACAAGCAGGAAGGGCCAGCCAGACCCTGACTTACATCCTGTTCAAAACCCAGAGCATGCTCTTGTCAGCAACAAGCAGGAAGGGCCAGCCAGATCCTGACTTACAGCCTGTTCAAAACCCAGAGCATGCTCTTGTCAGCAACAAGCAGGAAGGGCCAGCCAGATCCTGACTTACAAACTGTTCAAAACCAAGGGCATGCTCTTGTCAGCAACAAGCAGGAAGGGCCAGCCAGATCCTGACTTACAAACTGTTCAAAACCCAGAGCATGCTCTTGTCAGCAACAAGCAGGAAGGGCCAGCCAGATCCTGACTTACATCCTGTTCAAAACCCAGAGCATGCTCTTGTCAGCAACAAGCAGGAAGGGCCAGCCAGATCCTGACTTACATCCTGTTCAAAACCCAGAGCATGCTCTTGTCAGCAACATGCAGGAAGGGCCAGCCAGATCCTGACTTACAGCCTGTTCAAAACCAAGAGCATGCTGCAGTCAGCAACAAGTAGGAAGGGCCAGCCAGATCCTGACTTACAGCCTGTTCAAAACCCAGAGCATGCTCTTGTCAGCAACAAGCAGGAAGGGCCAGTCAGATCCTGACTTACATCCTGTTCAAAACCCAAGGCATGCTCTTGTCAGCAACAAGCAGGAAGGGCCAGCCAGATCCTGACTTACATCCTGTTCAAAACCCAGAGCATGGTCTTGTCAGCAACAAGCAGGAAGGGCCAGTCAGATCCTGACTCACCCACTGTTTATAACCCAAGGCATGGTCTTGTCAGCAACAAGCAGGAAAGGCCAGTTAGATCCTGACTCACCCACTGTTATAACAAAAGCATGATCCCATTAGCATCTACTTGAGGCCCACTGGATGTTGGCTTACCACCTGTTCATATATTTTATTTTGTTCTACCACTGTACAGTCAAGTAAGGTCCACATACCATATGTGGAAAATAATTCAGTATCTTCTCAACCATCTTCCTCCACTCTCTCTTTTCTTTGAATAACTTCCAATCTGGAAAGACAACTCTGTTATTCTAGATAATCAGCAATTTACCAGCATATAATTCAAAATGAAGCAACTACCTTATAATTGCATATTCAATTGACAGAGCCACATTATTTTGCTGCACTGTAAGAAACAGCTGTAAGAGTGTATCATCTGAAAACGTGGCTGCTGTCTTCCTCAGCAGTTCAGTACAGTCACTTGTAGGATTTTGCATGTCTGTTAAATGCAATTAATCCATTGTCTATGAGTTAATGAGTTTGTTGTACCTCGAAAATACACATAATCCTTGGGATGATACTTTTTCTTGTAGAGTTGCTGACCAAACCTCTTTTCAAACATGGCAACTGACTCTTCTGGAGCTTTATTTGCAGCATCTTCAACATCCATTCCAGTGTCAACCAGGTGTTTGATGGTTTGGGCATCAAGCATATCTGCTTTTGTAAACAGAACAATAACTGGAACTGTGCACAAAATGGAAAGGTGAAATTTCAGTAGATTATCAACAATTTACATACCTCTACCAGTTCCATACTCATCAAAGAAATTTAACTCTGCTCTTGTAAATGGTCTGGCTTCATCATTGATTGGGATGCAGTACCTACACAAGATGTACTCAGATGCACTTTAATGTCACAACTCCATCACTCACCAAATCACATGCAGATGATCCTTGAGCTCTTTGTTGGTTGAACGTTTTTGCAGAAACTCCTTGACTTTATCCAACTCAGATGTTCTGCCTGCTTCAAAGCCACGTGAGTCATGAAAGACAAATGCCTTATTGCTCTCAAATATCATTTCATTCTCAATATCATGCTCCCCTCTCTGCCACACTTTCAGTAAAATGGAATAGGGAGTGTAGATCCACATTACCTGTGCAGTTGAATCGAGCTTGGACAAGTCAATCTTTTTCACATCAATAATGATAGATGATGTCTAGCACATGGAATACCTCATGACCCTCCGGACTGAAAATTTTTGGCTGTTCCGTTGTATTGCAAACTCGCTGGAGGATGGTTGTCTTCCCCGCGTTGGCGCGGCCAATTATGAGAACGCGAAAGCGGTTGGTGAGGTTTCGAACTCTGCGTGCTCGGCTCTGTTGTCTTTCTATATCCTCTGTGGCCTGGGATTCAACATTGGAAAGAGACATTTGTCGCTGGGACGCCTGAGATGGTGGAAGTGGTGAAGAATGCAGTGGGCAGTGTATTGTTTGGTTATGCTGGGTCAGCCACTCGAGTGACGTCACCGACTCGCTTCTCACGTCTCTCGAATGTTGAGCTTCTTTCAAATTCTTACAATGTAATATTGCTACCCTCAGAAGCGCGTGATGATCAAGTCCTCCCAAAGGCCTATTCACAGGCCATTACTCTGGAAACACGCACAAGTGTTCGAATACAAGTACGTCGGCGTAAACCAGAACTCGTTGAAGCACTATGCGACACCCCCCACATAAACCCCCCATAATCGCATGGCTTCTACCCTCCTTCGCACTCCGTCGCCCCTTCAGATCCTAACCCGCCATCCGAGCTTAGATGGCCGACCTAACCAGCATCTCTGCGTGCAGACAACCTCCTCGATCAGCTGCATGGTGTCGAAGCAGAGGAGATTGAAACCTCACTGAAATCTCGACGAGGACGTTTCGATTTGATTCCCATATTATGACTGGCCCTTCCTCAACAAAGTTTTCCTCCCAAGTTTTCCTTCCGCCTCAATCCCCCATTCCACTTCGAATCCCGCGTCTTCCACCTCAACTGCCTCTTTTCCCACTACAAATTCTATCAACCCCTCATCCAGACCCTCATCCAAACAACCCTGTACACCTCGGACAACATTAACTCTGCCTCGTCATTTCCGCGTGATCGCCCTGCGAAGTTTTTCCACTACTAGAATCGACATGTACATGTTCGATGCTGGGTGGGCTGCTTGATTTCAGGTTTCCGGTGAGGAGAAGGCCAGGGTTTCCATAGGCCTGAATGACGTGTAGAAAGGTTGGACTTGGGACACAACCTCTACTCCATGCAATACAGGATGCCATTCATTACCTTCGGCCCCTGCAATAATGACCTTGGCCTTGTCGAGTTGGTCTTCAAGCCCCCCTCTTGTCGAGTTCAACTTTAGATTTCGAAAACGGAAACCATCATCGTCGGCAAAGGCCTCTCCCGCATCTCCTCAGCCTCAATAAGGAAGACCCCTGGCTAGGCTCCCAGCTCCTACTCTCAAACTCCATGGGGCTCCATGACTTTCGTGAAGATGTCGATCAGCAACGGTATTTCTGGCCCGAGAGAAGGAGGAGTATGGGTTCAAGAGATAAAGGACTTTTCTGAGCCTGCGGCACTGTCGACAGCGACGTGGGTGCAGAGTGGGGTGGCTCCAAGTGTGAAGATTTCGACCTTGCACCCTTCACGGTGAGTTGTTTCTTGTGCTTCGTGCCTTTTCTGAAGCTGATTGTTCTTGCCGTTAAGGATATCGTGGCGTTCAGAACCATCTGACTTCTTGACCACTGGGCGGGACATATCCTTCCCTCACTTCAGTCGGCCCTCAGTTCAACTGGTAAGTGCGAAAGTGGTGTCCTGTGGAAACTTCTTGATCTAAATTATGAATCGAAAAGTGAAATTGCGCGTCTCGCCGACATCGAGGTTGCTAGCAAAGCCCTCTTCGGTGTCATCGGTGCCTGGGACGATATAAAATTTCTACAGAGTGATAAAGTTTCTGTGTGCCAGGTTCAAAACCGAGCACTCTTCCCTGTATCCCAACACGCTCTAGGAATAGCAGGTTGCTGCCTAGTGTGGAACCGATAATATAAGCGAAGGAAGCAGGCTTTCTCTTCCCATAAGCCGTGGCCGCAACTTGTTACGTGTTAGGCACTGCCAGCCTGGCGCTCATACAGACTGTACCCACTGCTTGTAAGTTCTTCTCGAGCTTTTTACCTCGTACGAAGCTGATCATTCTAGATAGAAAGAGAATCCCCCCCCCACTTCAACTCGCACACACTCCCTGGTAGTAAGTCGCGATAAATCTTCACGCTAGAAGGGACGTACAACTCGATGCCCATGATCGGCTCAGATTGCGGGTTCGTCGTATGTAAAAGCCTACGCCCTTTTGAAGTGTTTCACCAAAATGACCTGTCCAATAAGGGGGGCAAACTCGTGCATGTCATTGCTGTCATAGAATACATGCAGGTCATCGATGTTTCAAGTCAAAGTGGGTCTGTTATATCCGCTCTCACTCTGTGTGCTTACCAGAACAACAGACTCAAGATTACGACGACGGTCACGACACTCAATGGTCCGGGCAGTCCAACGTGCTGAGATGGTAAGCCCTCATCGACGGGAGCTCTTCGTATCTGATTTTTCTATCAGTTACCTTTCAGGCTGCCAGAAAAGCGCTACTCACTGTTCAAGACTGATCGACTGACCTGATTTTAACCAAGGGTTTCTCACTGCCAGCTTCAAATTGAGTGGCCAGAACTACGTAGACGTGCGGTGCTGCTTGGCGCGGAACGGAAGGAGCTGGTCTGTGCGGTTAGGTGGGTCGAGTGTGATGTACGAAATATGTATACTCATCTTGGGTTTTCTATCAGGGCAACGGGGAACGACAGAATGGAAGGTCGATTTCAATGCAACCACCCCACCAGCTATAAACCCTTGTTCGAGACTAGTTGGAAGAACTGCACCAGCCATGACGTCGTCAAACTGGAACCACAAAACCTTCGCATTCAGGACTTGAATTGGATTGAAGAGTTGGAATCGCGGTGGTACGTTGTCTACTACGCCTATGTTGCATTTCCCTAAATCCTTCCTGCACAGATCGGCCCTACAATCCCTGCCACTCGACAGGAAGGTCATGTGTAATTACGGACAACCTTTTCCGCTCAAATTCAAATTGCAAGGTCATTGTGAATGGTAGTTATTCTCGTTTGTGACTATCTCTGTCGTAACTCACGTAATTGCTGTATCCTATTGTAGAACGCAGGCAAAAGACGACCAAATTGAATACGGCTTTCAGCGTTTTAACAAACAGAACCACTCCGACTCCTTAAAACCCAGGAATATCAGTCGCCAGCTCTGTCCAACTTGACGTCCGTTCGAGTTTGGATCACAGGGCTATTCCTAGTGCGGCGTCCCAGAGACAGGTGCTTCGAACGTGTGGAAATTGAGTCATGAAGCAAAGCGTCATTTGCTGCTCACCGTCGCTCTTCAGCGGTGTAAACGCTCTTTGGCTGTGGATACACTGAATGCTTGAAACGAGCCAGGGCAAAGTCGTTACTTGTACACTAACAAAGTCTCGTTGAGGCCTTGCCGCCCAAGTGGTAGCAACCCCACTAAAAGGAAATGGGGAAAAAGGTAAGCATACATCCAGTTCTCGGGGTTGTGCGGCGTAGTTCTGATATTTCTTTGGGGCTAGCTTGCTGTTGGATGATAGAACGACTCGCTACCGTGACGGCAATGAAGAAAAGGGCGAAGATACTTCAGTCCGGGCAACGTGAGTTGTGTCATTCGATGCGTATGCAAATTCTTACATGTTTGATGTAGCGCTATCCCCTGATGGTTTCAAGCAACGAGTAAACGTGGAAACGTACACGGACATCGCGATTTACGGACAAATGCGTAGGGGGTGTGAGGGGAAGATGGAGGAGAATAGCGACAAGATGGCTGTGGCGACTCTTGGCTGAGACGGGGACTTCATTGGCAAAATGGGATGGCACATCATGATAGAATTGTAGTTGATAATCGTACTAAGTAGGATTCAGTCTCGTACTGCCCATGTCACAGCCACTTTTATAACCTCCTATGTTTTCAGTTACCGTAGTTTGAGTCCTAGGAAAACGACGTTGTGGAAATTCTGCTGCCAAAGAAACTTGTCTGTCTGTGCCAAGTGGTGAACTCATGCCAACGCTGGAGCTCGAATGGCGACTCGAAGGGACATTCACTTGAACTGTAACAAAACTTCAGGGAAAGTTAACCTGGAGTTGATACTCAAGTACTCACCAGCACCCTCTGCCTCACCGTTTGTTTGATGTTCAGATCTGGCAACAAACTTGCGCGCTTTCACGATCGTCGTGGGCAGATTGAAAAGCTTAGTTGGGGAGCCAATGACGTGGGTGTATATTGGACATTGAGTCAAGGGGATAGAGTTGTACGACGGAAGAACGAAAAGCTGGACCTTTGTCTCGAAGTTTTCTGCTTGTGGTGGAACGTTAGACGAGTGGTGGATGATAAGGAGGAAGGAGTCGTAATGTTTGCCTTATGTTTGTTGATTGAGTTGTCTAGTATAACGTTCACCTGTTCGAAACTACCACCCAACTACCACCATAGGTCCGAATGTTGCCTTCTTCGCCGTGAACGTGGGATTTCAGCAAGACGGTATTGCGCATGCTCGCCGATCAAGGCGTTGAGAGGAAAAGAGCGAGCGGTATCTTGGATCCGGCGTGCTTGTGTCGTTCTCCAAGTTTCTTTACCCATAAGAGTCGGCAATGTTTCGCCTGGTAGTCCCACTGAGAGGCGAATTCCGTTTTATTCATTCCATCCCAGTACGCTTTTCAACGATATTCTCTCAATAAGTGGCGATTAACGTTAATTTCAAGGTTCAATGGGAGAGGTTACGATGTTTGACAAAGCTCGGTTTTGGCCCGGTTAGAAACGCCAGCGACGCCGTGACCAGCTTGACTACGCAAGTCTTGAGCTACACTCAAATCGACTACCTATTCTCATGAGGCTTTATGAGGTGGGTCTTCTTGGGGTTTTCTTCAACCAAGTCATTAGATTGATCTTTATGACGAAGATTCGCAAGTATTAGCTGGATGCCAGTAGTAGTCCAGCCAAAGAACGCAAGCTGGGATTTCACTACCTCGTTCAAGAGGAGCCGAAGGGCATCAAGGGGAGGCTAGTGGATTTACGAAACCTTGGGGATGGCTCTTACCGAGATTGTGAGTTGCGCCATGCTCATTCTACTGGCGAAAATACTTATCCAGGGTTTAGTGTGAAGACTTGTTGAATCACTTTGGCGAACTAAGGTTACTGCTATTTTGTGGAAGAGTGCCGGCCGCCTCTCACGACTGTCATGACTTTCAACCCTTTACTACAGCGGGTGCGAAGCTCCATTGTGTGGCGTTGGCATAGAGAATCACCCGTTTCGCGGAACGTCCGCGCTCGGACCCACGTCTTGCAGAATTCCTCAGGAAAAGGTCGACGAACTTTCCATGAGCCTCGTCATCTACAATCGATGCTTGCCTTTCGAGAAATGCCAATGCCAACGCGGCTGATCTTGTCGCGAAGCACATTTTTCGTACTGCGCCGTGGAAGTTTGTCGTGTCACGTTCCAGAAACACGCCTAGTGGTTAGATTTCGATGCCTCGGAGGAACGGGAACGGAGCAACCTCACAATACGTTCAACCGGTTTGCTTTAAAAGTAAGCCTCGTTACTGGCTTTGTTGTGTATGTGCTTACCTATCATACTAGGTCTTGGCTCCTATCTGGATTTCCACCCAACACGATCCAACACGCACGCTCTTTTTTCTTGGGTTGGTGGTACACCCGTATTGGGTTAAACTTTTGGTCAATATGTTAAAGAAAGCTTCTGCTCATTTTGGCCAGAACGAGTGCTGGCACCTTGAACATCGCCTTCTAGCATTGCAATGACATTTGCGGGCATGAACCACGTTGATGCGCATCTTCATGACAACTTGGGATTATTGTCCGCCAGGTGAGCCTGGGCGACACGTCAAAATTCTACCTACTGACTATTCGTTATGCCTACATAGCGTTTGTTACATTCTATTCGCAATTTCACCTTCTTCTTCCAAGCCAGAAGCACGTTCGCAACCGGGGGCTTCGATTTCATATCTAGGGGTGGCACCGCACAAGTTTCTAACATGCGATCACGAGTCATATCTCATCCCTCACAAAGTCAATGCACGCCGTAGGTTGTGGAGACGGGAGGAGGAGCACACATGGTTCCACTCGACTGTCAGAGTTTGACACTACTTCTTTCAACTGTGACTCGCTCCTCTCCGTAAGTACGCTTTCTGATATTCCCATTTTCTCTCACCTCTAACGTAAGTTGTACCTAGATTATCAACTAGCCGCAACGGGCCAACAGTACGTTCGTAACCAAAAGACCTTGGCGTGCGCTGGCACAATTGTGGGGGAAGTTGGCCTTTTGTAGAACTTGCCCTTCCTAAGCACTGGCCTCCGACAGCATGGCGAAAGTCATAGGGCACACCCTGTACTCACTTCGGAAACCCAAATCACCCTTTGTTATTTTCCGCGGACGCTTCTCGAGGCGATCCCCACCTCAACCCCCTTTTTGAGGACGGTCATGAACAACTGATGACACTACTAACCTTCTGTTCTGTGCTGTGAATGTAAGGCAGAGGCCTGTACGGGTTCAATGTCGCGTCTTCCTCGCTTTTCATTTCAACGGACTCAATCAACCAGCTACTACTGCGCAAGCGCTCGCAGGTGACGTCACATCCTCTGACAGTCACACCGAACGCCGTATCAGACAAAGCATGTTCCGAGCGCTAAGCACCTCCCTTTCACCAAAACCACCATGTCTACCGCGAGGGGTAGCTCAACGGGAAGCCCTAGCATTGAGATTACAGGTAACCTCCCAGGTTTTTGCCCCCAGGTCAAATATCTGACACCCATTGACTAGAAATCCGCGTTGAATCCCATCACATCCTCAAATCGGTCCAACTTTCGATTGGATCGTTCGAGCGGCAATCACCTTGTCTCCTGAATGCAAAGACCCACAACTTTGAGTTGTCATCCCCCTGGTGAGCCGATGATCATGTGTGCCATTGGACGACAAACCCAATCAAAGCAGTCAACTTTCCGTTTCAGAGCCCCTCTATCTGCAAGTCCGATTCCGCGGATTGTTTCGTGCTGCGTCGAAGAGCAAGATACCTCTCGATGAACTGCTAAGCAAGGTCGGCCCCCACTTCTCCGGAAAACAAGGCAAGTGCCTCCCTTCTGCAATCGCTCCTGTCTTGCTGATGCAGGACTTTTTACTCTAGAATGGTCAAAATCATTTGACAAGTTCGATGTCGTCCTGAAGTTTAGCCGATACGCAGGGGTGTGTGCACTTCTTCCTCAAACGCAAAAGCGTCCGCCTAATGCGGGTGCTATCGATCTTAGAATGCTTTAACCAAGGCAGAACCTCCGACGAGTGGCGACCTACGACCCACAACGGATGAGTTATTCAAGTTGGTCGAACGGTTAGTCTGCTTAATCTCCGATTACTCTGACTTACCTTATCGCTAGGTTCCGAGTCCTGGTCATCGGCAAAGTGGCCCTCTTATACCTCTATTCTCAGGTATTAGCTCACAGTTCGTTTTTACAGAGTGGTGTAGGGAAATCTTCCCTTATCAACGAATGCTTCGGTGTCAAGGATGCTGTGAGGTCACTCCCCGTCTTCTCAAGATCCGCTCCTAAAGCTTGTCCTTCCCCAGGCGGTGGCTCATTCAGAAGCTGGCGTGTCAAATATCAATACTCCGATTATAGCCAGCGAAAACGGAAGATTTGTTCTACACGACAGTCAGGGCTTCGAGCATGGGGAGGGTGACAACTTCAAGAAAGTCGTTGATTTTTTGAAAGTTCGGAAGGACATGCCCAATGTGAGGGATCAGGTACATGCTGTCTGGTATGTTTACCACTCCTCAATCACTTGAGTGAACAAGATGATGAAGGTATTGTGCAGGCTTTGTTTCCCAGTGTCCTTGTCTAAAGGTGATCGTTTGTTCGAGGCTGGGGTGGAGGAGTTATTCCGTATGAAGTCCAACGGAGACCTTGGCCCAGGTATGTTCTTGGTGTTTTCTGATCGACGATGGCTCACTGTTCACTTTAGTTCCTGTGATCACCGTTTTTACCAAATATGATAAGTTGGAAGAGCAGGTTGAATATGGTAACAATCTAGAGTTCCACAAACGCAACAAACATTTGGATCGGGAAACCCGAAATGCACGTCTTGCTGAGGAGACAGCAGCACAGTTCCAAGAGTTGTGTGTTGGTCCCTTCGAAAAGGTCGTCGGTATAGACATTCCGCACATTGCCGTCTCAAGTAAGCTACAAGAGACATCTTGGGCCTGTGCTTATATTTGCCAACACAGCCAATAAAGAATACAAGGATACCAGAAAGATGTTGAATGAGCTTGTCCGTCTCACTGCTGACTGTGTTAAAAACACCCTGGCAGTTGACGTTGCTGAAGATGTTGCGCTAGTCTCTGCCATCGCCCAACGCGTGAATCCAGCTGTAAAGATCGATGCGGTGATTGCGTGAGCATTCAAATGTTCGTCTTCTCTTGATGTCATGCTGACACCTATTTCAAGGGTTGGGAAGAAGCGTATGAATCTTTCGGCGTGCCCCTTGGTGAAAGTTAAGCTAAGCTACCCCTCTTTTTGTCAGGTTATTGGATGGGTCTCGCAGCTAGCGTGAATTTTCCAGGAAAAACTATAGAAGAATGCCTACGGGTTCTACATACTGATATCGTTGAAGTGTGGAACATTCAAGATGGTTGCGGGGTAAATACTTTAACATCATTCCATCTTCTCACACTTATGGAAACTGTGCTGTTAGTATTTGGAAAGCAAGGAACTGAAAAAGCTAATGTTCGAACTTGTTGGGAATCAATATGACGAGCCGTCAGATCCCAACACGATATTGTAAGTCAATTTTGTCGACTGTGCCACCTCATTTTTTACAAGTTGTCAGTCCCCATGCTTATTCGCTGCTTGGTGCCTTGACTATGTTAATTGGGGGTTTGACTGCACCTGCTGCTCCCATTGTGATTCCTATTGTTGCGTCTCTCTTGCTGGCAAAATGGATTTTCGATGTGTACAAGCAATCGTATGTCTTCCTCACTATGCCATGTCAAAATGCTAAGCGGAAAAACCTCAGGGCACTCATGCTACAACGTTTGATGGCGTACATCGTCGACTTCACGATTATTATGCAAATAATTTTTGGCTTGGTGGTGAACGCCCGTCTGCGCCTTTCCCGCCGCTTGATCAAGCTCGTCTTCAAGGCCTACAGCATTTCAGACGAAAGGAGCAAAGTTCACAAGGAGATTAAGGAACATGTGAAGCTGGCAGGCCGCTTTGACCAGGATGCAGCTCTGGCGAAGATCATCCAATTGATCAAGGAGTATCAGATGAAACCCGAGATTATGGAGGAGCTACAAAGTGCGGCTAAGGCCTTCGAGAACAATGAAGACGAGGATTGGGGCGTAGGCAAAACGTGACTTAATCGTTTGATTCCCTGTGTAACTTTGTTGTCTCAATGTCTGTATACACATGCCCTAATCTGAACAAAAATGAACCGCGAAGCTGATGTGTCGAAGAAAGAATTCAAGTGCGCCACTAACTTGAACGAAGAGAAGCCAGTAGAATGAATTGTGTATAGAGCTGGTGTGATGGTTAAATGGAGGATATACGCGAAAGGCAGTAGTAACACAGCTTCCTTTTAATGCGGGCATGTAGCTCTCGACCAAAAATGTTTCCCTTCTGAACGCGGCAGATGACATGGTTGAAGAGCCCTTAGGGTCCCTAGCAGTCCGCTGATTCGTGTGACGACCGAGTGAATAGAACATCGTAGTCAAAAGACGAGTATCGACTGTAGATGATGAGGTATTCGATAAGTTCATCGACCGCTCTGTGCAACTATTGCGAGAAAAGCCCCAGGAAAAGGCTCAGAGGTGAATCCGATGATGTATCCCATTGAGGGACGTTCGTGAATTCTTGTTTACTGATCCAGAAAGGTGGTGAAAAGTGGGGAACACCCAAGTAAACAAACTATATCTCAAGAACCTGGACGTGAAGGACGGACTCGTAACGTGAAGATTGTGGGGGTCGCCGTGGGATGGCTGGACACTGGCTCTTTGTGAGTCTCTCCAGTTGTTGACCTCGTCATGGATGTCCTCAGGCTCCAGTGTTGTAGATTTTCCTGTTCTCCTCGTCTTGTTCGCGGCTGTAAAGGACACTGCAAGGCTCGAAATGGTTTGTGGGAGATTGTTGCTGGTTTTGTGGGTGTTCCCTGGGTGCTCGTCCGGTGATCGTTTTGGTAGATTTGTGTGATCGTGTCTCTTTCCTCCATGCACCTTCCTCAAAGGTCGCAGATTCAGCTATGGCGGAATGCGCAAATGACAGCGACTTCTCGAGGAACAACATCTCATTGAAATTCGCAACTCGGGTCTCTATCTTGGTGTAGGTTTTCAATGAACAATATATTGGTTGATCTACGGCGGGCAAGGAGCACGTTGGGGCGGGTGTGGTAAGCTCCGTGGCCATGATACTTGCCGTCGCTCATGCTATTCCTTTTCAGGCTGTCGAAGTACGACACAGGGCCAGCAAGGACCCAGGGAGCTACCCAGGTTTGAAGCACGTCGTGGCGTCCCTCTGGAAGCGGACTTTCTCTACGGCGGATCTTGAAAGTGGCAAGTGAGATGACATTCGAATTTACGGTAATTGAGCTCTTATGCTGCGCACCCGCAAACGAGAATGATTGCGACCTTGCAATCTGAATTTGAGCGGAAAACGCTGTACGTGATCACACAGCGATTGTAGGGCCGATCTGTGCAGGAAGGGTTTATGGAAATGCGACACAGGCATAGACGACGTACCAATTGCGATTCTGACTGTTTTGTAGGGGTCCAGATGTTATACCAACCAGAAGATTTTGTAGCTGGTGGGGTGATTGCATTAAAATCGACGTTCCATTGTGTCGTTTCCCGTTGCCCTAATAGAAAACCCAAGATGAGTATACATAGTTCGTACATCACACTCGACCCGCATAACCGCACAGACCAGCTTCTTCCGTTCCGTGCTAAGCAGCACCGCACGTCTACGTAGTTCTTGCGTAGTTCTGGGCGCTGGTTCTGAAGCTGGCGGTGAGAAACCCTTGGTTAAAATTGGGTCTGTCAGTCCGTCTTGAAATTGGGTCGATCTTGAACAGTGAGGAGCGCGTTCCTGGCAACTGATTGATAAATCAGATATGAAGAGCTCCCGTCGATGAGGGCTTACCATCTCAGCACGTTGAACTGTCCGAACAATTGGGTGTCGTGACCGTCGTTGTAATCTTGAGTCTGTTGTTCTGGTAAGGTCACAGACAAGTGAGAACAGATATAACACACCCACCTCGACTTGAAACGTCGATGTCCTGCTCGTAAAAGTAGGATCTATGACGGTGATGAGATACACGAGTTCGCCTTCTGATTGGACACATCATTTTTGCATAGGCCCTTACATACGGAACCCGCAATCTGAGCCGATCATGGACATCGAGTAACGAGTTGTACATTCCTTCTGGGGTGAAGATTTGTCACGACTGATTATCAGGGAGTGCGTGAGAGCTGAGGTGGCTCTTTATATCAAGAATAATCAGCTTCGTACGAGGTAAAAAGCTCGAAAAGAACTGACAAGCAATGCGTACTGAGTGAAGATGCTAGTTTGTATGAGTGTCAGGTTGGCAATGCCTAACACGTAACAAGTTGCAGCCACGGGAAAACCTGTCATTCGCGTATACTATCGGTTCTACACTGGGCAGCATCCTACTATTTCTGTTGTGTCTTGGGATACAGGAAAGGGTGTTCATTTTGAACCTGGCACCCAGAAACATTGTCACTCTAGAGAAATTTTATATCGTCCTAGGCACCGAAGAGTCTTTTCACTTTTGGATTCATAGTTAGATCAAGCAGCTTCGGTAAAAACCAGAAAACCTTACAGGCGCCCACCACTTTCACACCTGTCGTTCGAACCGAGGGCAAAGTTTTGTGAGGGAAGGGTATGTTGCGTTCAGTGGTCAAGAAGTCAGATGGTGGTGACCGCCATGTCCTTAATGGTAAGAACAGTCAGCTTCAGCAAAGGCGCGAAGCACAAGAAACGACTCACGGTGAAGGGCGCAAGATCGAAATCTCTGCACACTTGGGGGCGGGGAAGGAATGAGCTACCTTAGTAAGTGCCTTCATGAGGTGCTTTAGACAGTGGCAAATCTGGAAAGTCGTTTACCGCTACTCCAGCAAAGGCAGGTGTTTAGAGGGAGGCAGCGAACTTCCAGCATCCGCTTATTGGTGCAAAATTTCATGTACAACTGACTTGGTCAGGCGCCAGACTCGACGATACAGCAGCATGACGGCTTAGAGTTACAGTGAGCAGTTTAGGGCTGTGAATTTCTACCAATGATTGATGAAGACTTACTAGAGTCCTGACCCCGAGCATTCCACACCACGCGGCTGTAGCCATATCAATGCTTCTTTGACGCATGCCCAGTTCGGTACAAAACATTATCTAAATGACGACCTTTTGATGAGACAGAAAAAACACGGATGCGAGTAAAGCACGTACGGTGAAAAACAGATTGATCTCCGACTTCATGGATGGTGGCAAACTTGAGCTCATGCATTGTTCTTCACGCCAGTCGACTGAAGCGAAAGAACAGTCGCTTTGAACCACCTACGACCGATGACGCCTGAATGCCGTACTCAAACCTATTGAATATCAATCTTAAAAGTCAACGTTTCCGCCGAAATCGTTGGTACAAACCCCTTGATTTTCTGCAAGCGCGCTGACACCTCATACAAGCCAGAACCGAAGTTCTGCTGAGCTGAAGTTGAGAATGAAAGCATCACGCAGGTTCACCATCCACTCAAGCACAACTGGGACGAAGGACTTCAAGCACACTGAAAGTACAATCGTCGCTTGCCGACGACCTGGGACGTAGTGGTGGTACAGATCGTGTTCAGAGATGGTGGAGAACTAGAGAGGTAGATGGAGACGGTGGTGGCTGATTTGTAGGGGTAGTCTGCTATGCTGGTTTCCACTTTTTGAAATCCAAAGTTGAACTCGACGGGGTGGGGGGGGGGTCGAAGACGAACTCGACAAATGGTAGCAGCAGTGAATGGCACCCTCGAAGATGAAGTCGACGTCCAAGAATCCCGAGAGGGAACAACGCCCAGACCAGGCACAATACACTTGCAAAATGCTCCACATGATCGTTCGCGTCCGCGGTCTGAGATTGGGCTTAAGAAGCACAACCAGCCAATGATTCGTTATGTGCGTATTGCGTGGAGTGAAGCTTGTGTCCGAAGTCCCTTTTTGAATCCCACCCTCCTTTCACGCATTCAGTCCCACAGACCCCAGCATTTCTCCATTGGAAACTGATCACCCTCAGCCGTGGCCTGCGCCCACCCAGCATCAAACACGTCAATTCTAACAATAGAGGGAGAACGTGGAAGTGACGTGGAAGAGTCAGTGTTGTCCGACACATCGAGGGAAGTTTGCATGAGGGTAGGGATGAAGATTTGAAGTGGGGGGGAGAGGCAGTTGAGGCGGAAGACGAGGCTTTCGAGGTGGAATGTGGGATTGAGGCATAGGGGAAACTTTGGAGGACTACTTTGAGGAAGGACTGAGGAGGTTCTTTGCGAAGGCTCTGCACGCGGGGATGCAGGTGAAGTGGGCCATGTAAACTCGGATGGCGGGATTAAAGATCTGAAGGGGCGAGGGAGGGCAAAGGAGGGTCGAAGCCATGCGATTATGGTGGGTTTATGTGAGGGGTGTCGGATAGTGCTTCAACGAGTTCTCGTTTACACTGACGTACTGGTCGCGTACGAGCACTCGTATGTGTTTCTAGAGTGCCTGTGAGTAAGCCTTGAGTGGGACTTGATCATCACGCGCATCTGAGGATGGCCATTTTATGTTGTAAGAAAGAAGCTCAAAATTCGAGAGACGTACCTTTGTGTCAAAGTTCTAAGTATGTTTGTAGTTGCAACTCAAGGCCATGTTGGACGAGGAGGAACAAGTCACGAGCACCGTGCGCATGCTGATTGTCGAACGCGACTACTCTGCAGTGAGGTTTCAACCGCCTCTGCTTCGGCACCATGCAGTTGTTTGAGGAGGTTCTCTACAAAAACAGCACTCCGTCAACCCAACCTCCATGTACCCTCCTAGTAAGTCCACAATCGCGTCATTCATCTCCTACCAACTTATCCAGGCATAACCAATCCAGTCTAACCTATTCGCCGTACGCGAGTACCTAAGCCCAGTCTGAGTGAGCCCCATGATCCGCCATCATCTCACTGTCACCAATCAAATCACCCACCTAGGTTCTCAAAGAGAGCAAATACGAAGAACACAGCCGTATACACTCGGTACGTCCACGATCATCTACGTCTGAGTTGGCATTTACCCAAGAGCAACAGATAAATTCGTCGCGGGGGTGACATTTTGGTGCACAAGTTCCCCGTGTGGGCATGGTAAGCCCCTCTCCATTCCTCGTCTCGTCTCGTCGCGAAAACTGAGTTGTAACTTATGAACAGGGAAAAAGGGGACATCCCCTAGTCCCGAGACTTCCTCCCACCAGACAAACAATAGCTAGTAATGTGTGCCATCCCCAGTGAAACTCAATGCAATGCATTTAAATTTCTCAACAGGCCGTCTTCTTTTCTTTCCACCACCATCGCTTCCGCCCACTCGACTAATGCGCACGCCGTCGCTCTACAGCCAGGATCATCCCATCTCCGCCGCCCTCAAACTTTCACCCATGGAGACGGAGGCAGAGCGTACGTCCCGTCTGTACGCAGAAGCCGAGGCGAAACGGGTTTCTGAGCAAATCGACGACGACCTGCGGGAGGAGCGGGAGCGATTGAAGAAGAAGAAGAAGGGCGACGTCAAGGTCAGTGCGCTTTACAATTATGCGCTGCATATACTCATCCTGCGCTGCTAGCTTCTTCTCCTTGGTCAAGCCGAGAGCGGGAAATCGACGCTTCAGAAACAGTTCCAGCTCATGTATAAACCCACTTCGATGGTCCAAGAACGCGCATCTTGGACAGCGGTCATCTACTTCAACGTCGTTCATTCATTAAAACACATCCTAGCTACGCTTGAAGCTTGGGACGACACTCTCGACGAAGACGCCGAGGCGCAACCTACATCGACGGACGATTCACAGTCTATCATACCAAAGAAGGCTCGCGGGAACGGTATCGCAGATCAGCCGTCACCATCTACTTCTCTCTTGACGGGCAGCATCATCCAAGGATCACCAAGTTCCCTGATGCCGTCGGAGGCCGGCGGCTCACACTCCCATTCGATGAAAGAGGGCGGCGCCCTTCAGATAGCCAACCTTCGACGCAGGTTGTTCCCATTGGTAGCTGCGGACGCGCAGCTCGCGGACAGGCTCAGTGGTGGAATCTCGGTGTCTGGTTCTGGTAAGGGCGGCGTCTTTGTGCATAGTGGTTGGCAGGCCCGCACGATCGAGAATGCTCTAGGAAGGATCAAACAAAAACGCCGTTCGGCCGAAAGCGAAAAGAAGACTCGTGAGATTGAACCGCAGGACCCTTTGGTTCAGGACGTTGGGCGAATGTTGGAGCTCTCCGTTTAGGATATCCGGGAGTTGTGGCATCATCCCACTGTCAAGGGGTTAATCGCCAACGGAAACGGAAACTTGATGAATGGTCCGAGTTGTATGTCGCCTACCTTGATCTCTAGTATTCTATTCTGATCTTGTTTCTCTAGTTTTCTTAAGAACATCATGCGTGTCGCGTCGCCGGACTACGTTCCAAGTATAGGTAACGTAGCTCTTCTTAGCCTCAATAAGGAAGGCCCCTGGCTACACTCTCAGCTCATACTCTCAAACTCCATGGGCCTCCATGATTTTCGTGAAGATGTCGATCAGCAACGGTATGTTTGGCTCCGGGAGTTTTTTGAGAAGGAGGGCTATGGGTTTATCATTAGCCTGCGGCTTTGTAGACAGTGACGTGGGTGCAGAGTGGGGATGCATCCAGGCATGCATATAATTCGTAGAAATATTGAGCATTTTGAAGAACCAAAGCGTGTTGAATTCTTGTGCGATTCCGGTTACGATACGCGTTTCATGAACCCTGCGATGTTTCAGCACCCAAGGTCATGAATGCAGAGAACGCAACTGTATGTACAATTCATGAGAGCACAACAAATTTCAGCTTGATTCACCTTTAGGATCCTTGCGAGGTGTTGTAGTGACAATCTCGAATGGAAGTGATGCAATCAAAGAACCCATCACGGTTCTTAGATTCCGGTAAGGGTCCAACAAAGTCTATTCCAATGGATTCCCAAGGTTGACTTGGCACTGGAAGTGGATTCAGCAGCCCGTAGGGTTTCTGATTACTTGGTTTGCTGCGTTTACAAGTTGAGCAGGTTTCACAAAACGCTTTGGTGTCAGAGACTAAGTCTTTCCACCAAACGTGATCCCGCAGGTAATCCAAGGTTTTGCTAGCGCCTAAGTGCGCGAGAAGCGAGTGTGCTTCAGAGATAACGATTTCACGGGCGCTGCGCCCATCGATCAGAACCTTGGGAATACACAGCACCTTTGACTTTTCTGATTTCAGAAAGATAAGGTTGTCTTCCACTGCAAAATTCCTATAGTTATTTGGTTTCTCCAATATAGCCTTGAACATTGGGTCCTCAGCATATCTTCCTTGGAGTTTTCGCAGAAGGTCAATTCCATTTTGACTTTCCGATACAACGTTTACTAACGACGGAAATTCTGATGGCTCGGGGCGTATCTCCGCGCCTTCGACATCATCAGATCTGGGCACCACGCTATTTTTAGCTCGCGGCGGCACTCGGATCGTGAGTTTCTCACTTGTGGACGTGGCTTTGGGCGCCGTTTTATCAACGTTTGCTTTTGCGTTCCCATTCCCGCCCTCCTTTTGTTGTCGAGGGCCTCGAACAACGAAATGATCCTTCATTCGTGCTGCGAATTCTTTCGAGGTTTCAGGACGACCTGTCTCTGCGCCAGGCGCTGGTTCCTTTGGGCGTCTCTGAATAGCAACACGTGCTTCAATACCAGCTAACACCGGCAACGTTGTTTCCACGAGGTCAAGGTGGTCGTCATCGACGACATCAAAGTACGTGTATTCACTAGCAGCTCGCACTGTTCCAGGGCTATCTGCTGAATACATCCTGGATAGCGCGTCTGCTACGACATTCTCAGACCCAGCAACATAGACGACTTTGAAATCGAATTCGCTTATCGTCTCGATCCACCGCGCTTGCCTGCCGGAGAGATTCCGTTGATTCAGTAAGTATTCCAGACCTTTATGGTCTGTAATCCACTTAAATTTTACACCTTGCAGAATATCACGGTGTCTTAGCATTGTCTCAACACCCGCAAGCATTTCGATCTCGTGGACCGGGTAATTCTGCTGTGCAGAGTTGAGCTTAGCTGAGTAAAATGCGGCAACCTTCGCATCTTTCCAGTTTTTTCCTTGGCTGACAAGACCGGCAACGCCTGTAGCGCAACCATCTGTTACCATCCAGATCTGAGGCGCGCTAGGCGCGTATTCGAGGGGGACACGATTATGGTCCCTAGCCGCTTGGACAAGCGCCTTTACATCTTCGAAGGCTCGCTGTTCTGTGAACCCCCAACGAAAAGGCACTGTATCCCCGGTAAGTCCATGAAGAATGCCCATCGGTATTCTAACGTTTGGGATGTCCTCTGCTAGATATCCTACGGAACCCAGGAATCCGCGAAGAAGATCGCGATTCGTTGGTGTCTTCCAATTCAGAACGGAATCCACCTTGTAGGGGTCCATGCGAATGCCGTTGTCACTAACGATGCGTCCGAGGATCTTCATTTCTGGGCATAGGAAGTATAACTTCTTTTTGCTCAGGTATAACTTCTCTCTGGTAAGAATATCCACCACAATTTTAACATGTTTGATGTGATCTTCAACAGAGTCTGAATAAATTATTATATCATCCAGATATACGTCCATGAACTGGCCTATATAAGGCGAGAACAGCTGGTTCATTAACGCCTGGTAAGTCGCAGGGGCGTTACAATCCCCCTGTTGGATAACATGGCTGATCATGTTTCCATCAGGAGTAGTCGTCGCAGTCCGGTGAACGTGCTCGGGCGCGATACGGATTTGTTCGTATGCGTCCTTGCCGTCCATCATGGACCGAAAACGATGTCTAGCCGCCCTCCGCAAAATCCCTTCGGGATCTGGGAGTGGAGACGTCATTTTGTGCGTATTTTCATTTCGAGCACGCAAATCGTATACCGTTCTGAGCAACGGGGGGTCTCCAGGTTTCCTGGGCTTAACTACTAACAGCATAGGAATCGTGTTAGAGGCGTTCGTTATTTCCCAACGGCCCGTCTTCAGGTACGCGTTCTTTTTCTCAACCCATTGAGATCTAAGAGCTTCAGGGCATCGCGAAGGACGCCACGGATATAACTTATTCTCGTCAATCACAGGTATGGTGTGATTGATTATTCTCAATGGTGGCAGCTCGGTCTCACTCGCATCTTTGCACAGAGGGTCCGCATATTCCAGTAGGAATTTCCGCGCCTTGTCTATGTCCAGATTTTCGAGCGCAACCGCACGCGACGCGATGGACGTTACCGAAATCCCATCAAGAGGCAACGCCGTGTCGCTTCCAACAAGAACCCGAGCGGGATTAAATCCCACTGACACTTGGTGCTGGTACAGCCAGGGCGTGCCCAGGATCAAGTCGTAGTTCGATAGGTTTATTATATCAAAGTACCTGACTTCCGTTATCTTTTGATATTCAAACTTAACGCTTGCTCCAGAATTTATTTTGGAGCGTGATCCCTGCACCGCTAGCTGCAGGCCGAGAGGTAAGGCAAGTTTATCCTTTTTTACTTTCAACTGATCAGCCACTGTAGAAGACATAAAGTCCCCCAGTGAGCCTGAATCAAGAAGGGCTCGCGCTGGGTGCCCATTTATCTTGGCAGTGATTACTACAGGTCGAGGGACCTTTCTACTAGTGTCCTTCGTCACGGCAGCATTCCGCTGGACAGCTGGGTATGTGCCGCGGGGGACTGA